TGATCTGCCTAGTCACACAGCATGTAAGTTCATTGCAAAGTTAGAACTGGATTCCATGCTAGACTCTTCTGCCTTCCGGTCTGAGGCTTTTTCCAGTACCCTTGGCTGGGCTAGGACTGGCCGGGCTGGACTTTTTGGGGGGGCCTAGGCTGCTTGGCTGCAGAGTCCCTGGTGTGTGGTCCTATAAATAAACCCATTGTGTCGGCACCCCTTCCCTCTCCCCACCCCCAGCAGCTGCTATTTTTGTTACTGGGTTATGCTGTGGACAGGGAGCAGGAGGGCTCTGAGGGAGGGGAGATGAGGGCTGTTGAAATCTGGAAGCCTTTAGGGCTCATAACACGACTGCCCTTCTCCTTCCCTTCCCGGAAGGGCCGAGGACCTATTCTGCAGCCAGTTCGGGAGAACCCATGCCATGGTGGTTGAGGTGCTTAGAGTGCCTGTGAAGAGAAAGTTGGGGGGATGCAGGGGGCCCCTTCCAGGACAGATGACTCTCAGAAGGGCTATTGTGTCTCCGGTGCCAGTTGTCAGGAGGAGGGAAGGAAATTTTTGTCTGCCCTCTTACCCTGAGCAGGGAGGAGACCAGTTGGAATTCTCAGGGCTGAAAGATGCTTTGGGCCAGGGGTGAAGTGGCCCCTTTCAGGCTAGAAGTGCCCGGGGAGCCAGGCCTCCATCCTCCTGTCCCTCCCCACACCCCTCAGCAGCCCAGGGCTGATCTTGGCTGGAAAGGGTGTTTGCTGTGGGGACAGAAGTTGCTGTTTACAAGTGGATTCTTGGGTGTGACTGGTAAAAGGGCTGGGAGGGTAAGAGGGATTCCAGAAAGCAGCTGGGGAGGGTGCGGAGGGAAGCGGTTGGCGTTCCGGGTGATTCTGTGATTAAGTGAGCTCTCCATCTCTGCCTTCCTACAGCTGCCCACCCTCCCCCACTCCTGCTCCCTGGCTTCTCTCCCTAGAGGACTCTGGGGGGAACAGCTGGTGAGTGAGGGGCTCACCAGGGGCCAGAAGGCCTTGGCTAAGGGCCGAAGTGAGGAAACAAGGACAGGCTTACTGCCGCCTGCCTCTCTGGCCCCTTCCTCCAGGCCCAATCTCTGTTCAGGGAGGGCTCTTGCCTGTGCCCTGCTGGAGAGGGTGTGCAAGCTGCAGACCCCCTCTGGTCTGGCTAACTGAAAGGCCAAGACAGATCTCTTTGGAGGCCCTGAAAGCCCCTGTCTACTCGTGGCTTTAAGGGGGAAGGGAGAGCTGGGGCCCTTTATGACTGACTTGGCTGAAGAGATGGTGGTCACCCAGGTTACCCAGAGACCCCTGAGCAAGTTCCCCCCTTCCTCGGCCCTGGCTGCCTGCAAACTGCTCCCCTCCCCACCTCTTCTGAAGGATAAGCCAGAGAGGACTCTGCTCTTCTCCCTCCTCCTTCCCTCCCTCCCCCTACACTGAGGTCACCTCCCTCTGACTCAGGCCTTTGTGGGAGGCAGGGCCTCCGTTAGCAGTTCTGGCGGGAGAAGCCTCCAGTTGAAGTTAGAGTTCCCAGCCCCGGCCTGGCGGGCACCGTGTGTCCAGACCCAACGTCCCAGATGTGTTGGGGCCACCAGAGGAATGTTTGAAACCAGAGCCATCCTGAAAACCTCAGGCCTGGGGTTTCCCTGCCCAGGTCGGGCTGAGCGAGCAGGAGCTGTGGGTCCTGAGGGAGGAGGCGGTGCTCAGCCCCTGGGGGGCAGCAGGGACCACCACCGGGGAGCTGGCCTGAGCAGGCGTTCCCCATGAGATGTGGGCAGAACGCCCAAACTCCAAAGGGCCGCGCTCTGGATTTGGCTTCTGTTGGAGCTGCTGGTGGTGGTCTCTCTCTGGATCTTGACCTTCCCCAGAGGAGAGTAAGGATGCAGGAAGTTTTCTTTAGAAATCTTGAACTTAGGCAGGGCGCAGTGGCTCACACCTGTAATCCCAGCACTTTGGGAGGCCAAGGTGCGTGGATCATGAGGTTAGGAGATCGAGACCATCCTGGCCAACATGTTGAAACCCCGTATCTACTAAAATACAAAAAAAATTAGCCAGGCATGGTAGTGCATACCTGTAATCCCAGCTACTTGGGAGGCTAAGGCAGGGGAATCGCTTGAACCCAGGAGGTGGAGATTGCAGTGAGCCAAGATTGTGCCCAAACAAAAAAAACAAAAAAAAAAAAGGTTCTTTTCTAAAAAAAAAAAAAAAAAGAAAAGAAAAATAAATCTTGAACTCAGGCTCTGGGCTGACTCTCATGGCCTATGCTCCTCTCTGCCACCAAGTTTTCCTGTGGGTCTCTTCCTCGTGACAGCCTCCTGCCCTCTGCTGTGACAGCCCTGAAGATGCAGAGGAGGCCCCTCATCCTGGGCTGACCCCAGACCACCTCGCTGTAAGGCCAGAAAGCATTTCTCCCAAACTGGGGCCGAGTCCCAGCCCTGCTCCAGCCAGCGCTTCCTGAGACTGTCCTGAGCTCCAGCCAGGGCACGCTGAGAAGAAGAACTGGGGCCACTGGCTGGCTTATATATCGGAGGGTCTACCCCATTCGCAGTAGGACTCTGGCCTCCCTGCTTGGGATTCACAGGGCCTCAGCTGTGAATCAGGGCCTTGCCTGGCTTTGTGCAGTGTATGGGGTCTCCATGCTCCTCAACACAGAAAACCACTGCGTGCACACAGAATCTACAGCCAGGCCTCACAACCTGGCCTTGCTCCTCCTGGATGCTTTTCTATTATTTTAGGAAAAGATACTCTACTAAACCACTGTCACCTGTTGTTTGGTTGTTGCTTTCTTGTGAAGCACACAAAACCTCTGGCTTTCCCCATCCTTAGTGTTATCTTTTTCCGGACCCCGGATGCTGCCCTCTTTATCCCATTCCTTTCCCTCACCCTCCCAACTTTCTTCTTCTCCTCTACAGCACACCACAGCCACCCCCCAGCCCCTCTTCCATGGAAGTTTCCACTAGAGAAGTAGATGGTGAGGGGATTGAGGGACACGCTGGGGACCGACAGGCAGGTTGCTCCAGGCAGTGGAAGGATCATGGCCCAGAGACCAGAGTTGTGGATGAGGGCAGCACTGATCAGATGCTGGAGGTGACCTGAGGCCTTGTCTGGGTTTTACCCCATTTGAGTGTGGGAAGGAGGATAATTCTTCAATTTTTTTCCTTTTTTTCCAGACCTGTATATTTCTATGTCTATCAACATAACATTATGAGCAAACAAAGTAAAACATGATACATTTTTATGATGTTAAATAACAACTTCAGGCCGGGCATGGTGGCTCATGCCTGTAATCCCAGCAATTTGGGAGGCCGAGGAGGGTGGATCACCTGAGGTCAGGAGTTCGAGACCAGCTTGGCCAACATGGCGAAACCCCATCTCTACTAAAAATGCAAAAAAATTAGCCAGGCGTAGTGTTGCATGCCTATAACCCCAGCTACTCAGGAGGCTGAGGCAAGAGAATCCCTTGAACCTAGGAGGTGGAGGCTGCAGTAAGCTGAGATTGCGCCGCTGCACTCTAGCCTGGGTGACAGAGTGGGACTCTGTCTCAAAAAAAAAAAGAATTTCAGATTGTTGTATTAAAAATAAGCATTAGAGGCCAGGCACAGTGACTCACCTGTCATCCCAGTGCTCTGGGAGGCTAAGGAGGGAGGATCACCTATAGTCCCAGCTACTTGGGAGGCTGAGGCAGGAGATCACTTGAGCCCAGGAGGTCAGGGGTGCAGTGAACTACGAATGTGCCAGCACTCCAGCCTGGGGAGTGGAGTGAGACCCTGTCTCTTAAAAAATAGCAGTATTAAGCTGGTCTTCCTTTTCCTTCAAGTGTTTTCAGAAGTCCCCTTCCCACTGTTGTAACCACACATACAGACATGAAGAAGCATTCTCCCCTTTCACTGTTACCCCAGCCCCCAAGCATCCAGTTGCTTCTCTTTCTGGGATATTAGAAGAGAAAGGGAAGGCGGTGCTGGGCCTGGGGCTGGAGAGCCGGCTGGGAGGAGTTGAGGGAGGGGAGGCCTCTGAGGGCAGGGCGGGGGGTATCTAAAGGTGCCCCTGTAGCCGAGACCCCTGCGTAAGGGCCCTGGGACCCAGAGTCTACTTCTGTGTGAATGGACAAGGCAGTAGCACGCTCCATAACAACCCCAGGGCTTTGCACTGTGCCTGTGTCAGCGGCTGATGATATGAAAAGCCTTCATTTTTGGAGTTTGTGCCAGACACTCTACATGTATTATCTCATTTTGTCCTCCAATAACCCTTTGGACTAAGTGTTCTTATCCCTGTTTTACAAGTGAGAAAAAAAAGAAAAGAGATGCAGTAGTGTCAGATTTCTAGCCTCCGGGGAGCTCTGGGGCTGTGCGGAGCGTAAATGTATGTTGTATTGTGGAGCTTACAGTGCAGCTTGGGCGTGTACAGAGGAGTGGGGAGATCTAGGCCTGTCCAGTGTGTGCTTTGTGAAGTGGCCATGTGATTTGGGCAATATCCTCTGCCCGAGAGCCTGCCTCCTCCTGCTGGTGGGTGCTCCCCTTCCCAGGTTGTCAGAAGAACCGATGGAATGGTGTGGAAGATCGTGCCTATGCTGTTCATCACACTCGGTTTCCTCATCTGAAAACATAGGCACTGATAATAGTATTTAACATCGTTGTGGTTAACTGCTGAGCACTAGAGAAGACTATGTATGTTATAGAACTGGGTTGTAAAGTACCAGGTGTGACTGTTCAGTCTCCTCTGTTATCTAATGATTCCTGGCTGAGAGCTGGGGACCTTTGCACTGGCTCTTTCTGCCACTCCAAATGCTTTTCCATTCCAGGCTTTCATCTGGACTTCTTTCAGGTCTCTGCTTAATTGTCGTCTCTCAGTGCCTAATCACAGCCCAACATTGTACATTGTCTGTCTCACCCAATAGAGTAGAAGCTTCGTAGTGGCTGGGCTCTTTCCGGCTCCTCATCCTGTGTCCCAGCGCCTGGCGCATAGCAGGAGCCCAGTAAGTGCATGGCTGACATCATCTTTTTTTTCCCTCCACAGGCGAGGTGACCGTTCTGGATGCTAGAGTGAGTGTGCCCACCTGTGTAAGGGGGCAGAGACAGGTGAGGGGCTTTGGGGCCTGTGCATGCTGGGGGTGGGAGAGGCACCCCTGGGCTCCACCCTGGAGGATAGGGAGCAAGTGCTCAGATGGCTGGGTGGTGAGCTGCTGAGGACCCCTCTCTCCTATGGTCCAAAAACTCCAAGTCTTTTCATTTTTGTTTTGAAACAGGGTCTCGCTTTGTTGCCCAGGCTTGAGTGCAGTGGCGTTCATAGCCCACTGTAGCCTCGAACTCCTGGGCTCAAGGGATACTCCCACTTCTTTTTTTTCCTTTTGGTAGATGAGGTCTCACTATGTTGCCCAGGCTGGGCTTGAACTCCTAGCCTTAAGCCATCCTCCCACCTTGGCCTCCCAAAGTGCCAAGGACAGGCATGAGCCACCACACCCAACCCCATTTTTCTTTTGTGGGGGCTTCAGTGGCACAAGGAGTGGTCAGGGTGGACCAACGTTCCACCCTCTTACAATAAGAAGGGTTGCCCATCTACTGGAAACCTCCACAATATTTGTAGGGAAGAAAAACATTGAGCATTTTTGTCTAGCAGAGAAATTGGAACTCAATTGGAAGATAAAGACTAGCCAGTTCAAGCTAGCAACAATGGCAGCCGTTTGGTGGGGTGGGAGGATCCCATGTGTGACACAGGTCTGAGCCCTGGTTATGCTGGGTGTGGTCATGAACTTTGTCTAGTCATCAGCCTGTCTCCCGCATGTCAGGCATCCCACCAGGAGTCGTGTGAGTTTGGATGGGGAGGTGAATGCAGCGTTCCTTCCCTCATGGAGTTGACTGTCTGGTGGGGGAGGCTGGTATAGAATCTTGCAGGATCGGTGCCTTGGAGCCCTGAAGGATGAATAGGAAGTTGCTGGCCAAGTGGAAAGGAGCAGGTGGTGTCAAGAGATCCCAGCAGAAGGACCAGTGTGCACAAAAAAAGCCTGACGTAGGCCGGGCACGGTGGCTCATGCCTGTAATCCCAGCGCTCTGGGAGTCCGAGGCGGGCGGATCACAAGGTCAGGAGATCGAGACCATCCTGGCCAACATGGTGAAATGCTATCTCTATTAAAAATACAAAAATTAGCTGAGCATGGCGGCGCATGCCTGTAATCCCAGCTATTGGGAGGCTGGGGCAGGAGAATCACTTGAACCTGGGAGGCGGGAGGCAGAGGTTGCGGTGAGCCGAGATCGTGCCATTGCACTCCAGCCTGGGCAGCAGGAGCAAAACTCTGTCTCAAAAAAAAAAAAAAAAAAAAATCCTGATCTGCTGGGGCCTAGCTCCTGCCAGGGCAGTGGGTGCTTAGTAAGGCTGGAGCTAGGCGTAGAAAGCGGAGCCCTGGAGGGGTGCAGGGCACTTCCTACTATGTCCAGAAGGAGCCTAAGGCTCAGGGAGTGGGACATTGCCCTGGGATGACCCAGCAAGTGAGCCCTGGAGCCACAACTAGAGCAAAGGGCACCAGGCCCCAGGCTCAACTGTATTGTCCACACATTCCGGGTCAAGTTCTCAGGGTGCTGTTCCTCGGTGGTCACATCTGACTCTCACAATGGCCCTATAAGGAAGGAAGAATTCTTCTGCCTATTTCTCAGAACTAGGAAACTAAGGATCAGTTGGGTGACTGAGTGAATTAATGAGCTCAGTTTTCATGTTTTCACCCAGCTCATACTAGGCAGAGCAAGACAGAGACTTTTGGCTGCAAAGCCAGGGTTTTATTCATTGTCTCCATTACCTAAAACGTGTCCCTGCTCCAGGCAGGGGACCACTGATGCTCAGGATAAAATCCTAGTTGTCTTATTTGTTAAATTAGTTTAAATTATTGTTACTGTCATGAGTAATAACAGTCTCGTGTTTGTTTTTTTTAACTTCTTTAAATCACTTTCACAGACCTAATCTTTGTTTGCAAACATTGAGTGAGATTAGGGGATATTGGTGTTATTATACAAATAGGGGGACTGAGGCCCAAGGAGGCTGAATGACTCCCCAGCTTGAGGCCAGTCCTAGTGGAGAAATCAGATTTCTAGGCTCCTTGCTCAGTGTCTGACCAACAATAGCGCATGTGTGAGTGTGGGGCTTTCTAAAACAATAGTCTCTGTTCTTAAGACAAGGAGAGTATCTTTGTCTGCCCCGTGACTGAGAGATTCCCAGCCTGGCCCTGGGTTGTTACAGTGTCATGCACATAGGTCACACTGACCTAAGCTCCAAGGAGACTGAAGGGTTTCATCTTTGTCCTCTTCCTCCTCACTTCCTCCCCATGCCCTGGAGTAGCCTGCCGGGCGTCTCTCCCTTGTTCCCAGAGCCAGATGTCGGAGGCCATGGACCAGCCGGCTGCAAGTCCTGGAAACCCAAGGCCAGGAGAGGGTGGTGATGGCAGCATGGAGCCGGGCACATGCCAGGAGCTTCTGCACCGACTTCGGGAGCTGGAGGTGCAATATGGGGCAAGGTGGGGGAGGCAGGGCTTCCCCTCCGTCTGAGTTTCCTGTGGATTTTTGGGTGCCATGGGCCTTCCTCTCAGCCTGCTTTGGCAGGCAGGAGGCTAACCGAACATTCTTCTGCAGAGCTTCTCTGAGAAGCCCTTTCCTTGCTCTTAGCTCTCCCATCCAGTGACAGCCCAGGGACAAGAAGCATTGCCCAGAGATGGGTGTCCTAACCCCCGAACACCTCCCTTCCTTACCTCCCATGCTTCTTCAGGCTCTAGGAAAGGGGGTGGTCAGAGGCCACAGTAGGAAGAAGCTGGATGGTCCAGGGCTCAGGAGTTGAGGGACAAGGGTGCACATCCTCAGGCCACACCCCTCGCCACATTCTTAAGACCCTCTCCTCTTCCCTGCAGCCTCCTTTGCCCATCTCCCAGGAAAATAAGGGTTACTGTGGGCACCTCCCACCTCAGGTCCACCTGGCCACTGTGTCTCCCCAGTGCCTCCAGTGCAAATGACTGAGGTTGGGGGTTTACAGAAAACCATGCCATCTCAGCCCTGCCCTCCAGCTGCCCTTGGCCTCTGCAGGGCAGAGAATCTGCTCACAGCCAAGAGCTGGAGTGGGGGTGTAGTTAGCATCCCTGTAGCTGCCTCCCCTTCCTCAAAAGGAACATGCCCTGGGGGAAGAATAATCTGCAAAGCCTTCTTTTTGCCCTCTTCCTCCCTCGTCCCCGCAGGCAGAGAACTCAGCGCTTGCCCAGGCCAATGAAAACCAGCGGGAGACTTACGAGCGCTGCCTGGACGAGGTCTGTGGGGCCTGCAGTGGGACTGGGGGGATGTGGCTCATCTGCTCCTGGCAGAAGCTGGGGTCTGCTGACAGCTCTGCCTCGGGGCTTTCTGTCCCCAGGTTGCCAACCACGTGGTACAGGCCTTGCTGAACCAGAAGGTAAGTAACCACAGGAGACATTCCCCCACCACCCCCGCAAGCCCAGACACCCTGGGGAGAAGCGCTGGGCACAGCAGATGAGGCCCTTCCTGGGGAATAAGGGCTTGGAGGAGATGGGCTGTTGCCCTCCGGCAGTTCTCTGTCTTCCTGCCTTGGGCAGGTCCATACTGTTCTACCTAGAGGCAGGGGTGGGACTAGGTAAGGCCAGGTCTCTGAGCTGTGATCACTTATTTGAGCTTGACTCCTGCCCTTACCCTGTCCCCAGCTGGCTTTTCCAGGCTGTGATAGGCCTTAAAGCAGTGTTGATGTTGTAAGCCTAAATGGCATCTACATATTTACTCATGTACTTGTGTGCTGTGGATAACTTCTTGACATCGGGGCCACTTTGACCCCAAGGCCTTCCTCTGTCTTACACAGGCCCTTCTTTGATGTGTGCTTTCTAAGAGGCAGGGGGGTTGATTCCAGGGATGAAAAAGGTAACAAAGAGAATGGGATTTACCGCCCACCAGGGATGATGAACTTTAGAGAATTTTCAGTCCCTAGAAGATGCTATAGCTAGCAACATCAGCAGGCTCAGATTCCTCATAGAAGGAGGTTCCAGGAGAAGGATATGCCCAGAAGGGTCCTAGGGCCTCCAGGTAGATCTGTGCATGCCACTGTTCTGATGAAGAGCACTGTGACACTCTCTCACCATCCTCTCCTCTTCTTCCTGCGCCTCCTGGGGTGGACGGCAGGACCTTCGAGAGGAGTGCATCAAGCTGAAGAAGAGGGTGTTTGACCTGGAACGGCAGAACCAGATGCTGAGTGCCCTGTTTCAGCAGAAGCTCCATCTCACCACCGGCTCTCTCCCTCAGGTAGGCACATGCGCTCCTTTCCCTCCCATCACACTGCCTCCTGCCTCCCCAGCCCTGTCTGCCGCATCACTGTCTTCTCTAGTGCACCTGGGAAGCAGGCCATCAGCTGTCCCCCTTCCACTCTTGGGGCTGTGGACGTCCAGGGAAGGCCTGCCCCACCTGAAAGATTTGAGCCTTAGATGGGTTGCAAACTGCCCAAGTCTCCTGAGTTTGGCGGTCCCCTCCTTCTGGTGCTCCCCACAGAGCACCCCTTCTTGTTGATGGAGCTTTGCACTTGCCCCTGCCCGGTGTGGGGAGATGGGTGGAGTCTGCAGATGCAATTATTTCAAGTTTCCAAGAGGCCGCTTTGGCCACTGACACAGCCTCTTCTTGGCCGGGCACAGGGGTGGGGCTGGGTGTAAGGCAGCCCAGAGCGTGGTGTCAAGAAAGACATTTCAGTTCTGATAACTGTTCACAGTCTCTGCTGGGAGCCCTGACACCTGCCTTCCCCAGGAGAAGCAGGAGGCTACTGGGAGTGACTCCTGGGCTGCGTTAAGGTGTCACTTGAGGTTACTCTGTGAGGAACCCGCAAGGATGGGGTGAGACATGGGGTGGGAGGATCAGGAGTAGCTCCAGATGCCTGGGGTGAGCAGCAGGCTGTTTCTGAGGTCGGCCAGCCCATTCCCCTCACTTTGACAAGAAGAAAAGCACTTTTCTGTGTGTGGGGGTGTGTGTGTGGTGGGGGGTGTGGTGTGTGTGTATCTGTCTGATGCAAACTAGGCAACTCTTGGTCCCCAGTCCCTGAGCTGGCAACCCCTCCACTCACTGGAAGCCTGGCCCTTGCAGAGGAAGCACCTTGTCACCATAGCCACTCTGGCCACCCAGCCTCACCAGGTTGGCACAGAGCTGAGTCAGAGTCTGCAGCAGTGACTCTGCAGTTCTCCTTGCCCTACATCTGTCCTTGCGGCAGGGTTCACCCTGGAATCCCCAGAGGCCCAACCACTCCAGCTCAGCCCACCCCAGCACACTCTTCTCAGTGACTGCTGATAACAGAGGGGTCGGGTGTCCTTAAAGCATTTACTTTTTACCTAAATGAATTCTGGAACCTTTAGGGGTTCAGGCCAATAGATTTATCTTCCCCAGAAGTAACATGACATAATGGGAAGAACACAAAGCTTGGCCTCAGATAAACCTGGGTTGGATCCCTCACTTAACTACTTCTTAGCTGTGTGACCTGGGGTAAATTACTTAGCTTTACAGACTACAGTTTTGTTTTTTAACGGATGGGGATAAAAATACCCATATTGCAGTTGATGTGAGGATTCAATGCAATGATATGTCGCACTTGGCCCACAGTAGATAGTCAGTGGCAGCTGTTTATGATGTGATTCCCAGCTTGTGCTTTGCTAGGGTGAAAGCGCCTTTGCACAAATGCCAATTAAGCTCTTACTGTGAGCCGTGCCTTTGCCAACACGTATGGAATTGGACTGCATCATGAGGCCCCATCGAAGGGCCAAGGCCTCTGCAGGCCAACGGGACCCCGGGAGCCTGGGACTGTTGGGAGCTCAGGGAGCTCCATGCCACAAGGCAGAGTATGACAGTGCCATCAGAGAACCCAGGAGATGGTGGGGAGAGGCCATCAGAGAAGGATGGAAATGACATTGGAACTGGGACTTAATGGATGGATGGGAGATTTTAAGAGTGGAGTGGGGCCTGGGGAGGAGGGATTCCCTGTGGAAAGAACAGCATGAGCAAAGATCCAAGAGCAGGGAGGCCCAGAGAGCAGTAAGCTGTTCAGCTTGACTGGAGCAAAGGACGTGCGAAGGGACGGTGAGGGAGACGGTGGCATGGGAAGAGCTGGCCAGTCAGGCCCAGATGCCTGCAGAGGAGTGCACACTTGTTTCTGCTGACAATAGGCAGACATAGGAGGCTTTTGAACACAAAAATGCTTTAGAAAAGAAAACAAGGCCAGGCACAGTAGCTCACGCCTATAATCTCAACATTTGGGAAGGCTGAAGAGGGAGAATCACTTGAGCCCAGGAGTTTAAGACCAGCCTAGGCAACATAGCAAGACACTATCTGTACAAAAAAACAATTTTTTTTTTAATTAGCCAGGTGTGGTGATACTCACCGGTAGTCCTAGCTACCCAGGAGGCTGAGGCAGGAGGATTGCTTGAACCCAGGGAATCAAGGCTGCAGTGAGCTACAGTCATGCCACTGCATTCCAGCCTGAGTGACAGAGCAAAACCTGTCTGAAAAAAAGAAAAAATATCTCATCGCATTGTTAGTTTATGGTTTAAAAAAAAAGGAAGAAAAGATGCTTTAGGCTGTCTTGTGCACAGGAGATTGAAAGACCACCAAACCAGATCAAGGAGACTGACTGACTGGTGGAGCAGTGCAGGCCAGAGGCAGGAAGAGCTGGGCTGGAGGCGCTGCTGCAGCTGGCTGTAGGTGGGTGGAGTGGGGCTGAGGGGCACTGCAGAGACAGGGTTTAAAGGCTGTGAAGAGGGGCCGGGCGCGGTGGCTCAAGCCTGTAATCCCAGCACTGTGGGAGGCCGAGGCGGGTGGATCACGAGGTCAAGAGATCGAGACCATCGTGGTCAACATGGTGAAACCCCGTCTCTACTAAAAATACAAAAAATTAGCTGGGCATGGTGGCGTGTGCCTGTAATCCCAACGACTCAGGAGGCTGGGGCAGGAGAATTGCCTGAACCCGGGAGGCGGAGGTTGCGGTGAGCCGAGATCGCACCATTGCACTCTAGCCTGGGTAACAAGAGCGAAACTCCGTCTCAAAAAAAAAAAAATAAATAAATAAATAAAAATAAAGGCTGTGAAGAATGAGAGAGGGAGGAGTTAAAGCTGACTCATATCTAGCCACAAGATGCCCGGGAGATGGAAATCGCATTCTCAGGGACTGAGAGAGAAGTGCCCGTGATTAAATCCTGCCTTTTCAGTCCCAGAGTAGATGTTCCACATCACACCAGGCAGGGGAGACAGAAACATTACAACTCCCTGCTATGTCTTTTCCTTTCTTTTTTTTCTTTTTTTTTTTGAGATGAAGTCTCATTGTTGCCCAGGCTGGAGTGCAGTGGCACAATCTTGGCTCACTGCAACCTCCACTTCCTGGGTTCAAACAGTTCTGCCTCAGCCTCCTGAGTAGCTGGGATTACAGGTGCCCACCACCATGCCCTGCTAATTTTTTTTTTTTTTGAGATGGAGTCTTGCTCTGTCGCTAGGCTTGAGTGCGGCGGCGTGATCTCAACTCACTGCAATCTCCGCCTACCAGGTTCAAGCAATTCCCCTGCCTCAGCCTCCAGAGTAGCTGGGACTACAGGTGAGTGCCACCGCACCCACCTAATTTTTGTATTTTTGTATTTTTTTCCATAGAGACAGGGTTTCACCATGTTGGCCAGGATGGTCTCTATCTCCTGACCTCATGACCTGCCTGCCTCAGCCTCCCAAAGTGCTGGGATTACAGGCATGAACCACCGTGCCCGGCCGACAATTTTTGTACTTTTTATTTATTTATTTATTTAGAGATAGACTTTTGCTCAGTCACCTAGGCTGGAGTGCAGTGGCACAATTTTGGCTCACTGTAACCTCCACCTCCCAGGTTCAAGCAGTTCTCTGCCTCAGCCTCCTGAGTAGCTGAGATTACAGGCACCCACCACCATGCCCAGCTAATTTTTCTATTTTTAGTAGAGATGTTTCACCATCTTGGCCAGGCTGGTCCTGTACTCCTGACCTCATGATCCACACACCTTGGCCTCCCGAAGTGCTGGGATTACAGGTGTGAGCCACTGCGCCCAGCCAATTTTAGTACTTTTAGTAGAGACAGGGCTTCACCATGTTGGCCAGGCTGGTCTCGAACTCCTGACCTCAGGTCATCTGCCTGCTTTGGCCTCCCAAAGTGCTGGGATTACAGGCATGAGCCACTGCGCCCGGCCCCTGCCATCTCTTTTCTAAGACCGTCTAAGACTATTTATCTCAGCTGTCCCTGTGATCCTCGGATCCCAGGTGTTGAGAACAGGAAGAGACCTTTGTGGTAACCCTCTTTGTGAGAGGAGAGGAAGCCCCATAGACAAGTGAAGCAGGCTTGGAGCTGAGAGAGGCACTCTGAGTGAGACCTGCCACAGCCCTCCGGGCCCAGGATATTCATGTCTCTCCATAGCCCTCTGACCAGTCTCACTCTGTGACCCCTGGCTTGCACCGTCTTCAGATCTGCCTGTGCTGTGGTCTCCTGAGGCTTCTCTTACCAGTGGGTGGGGCAGCAGCCAGAGCTGCATCTGGGGCTGGGAGTCCTCCATGAAGGAGAGGACGCAGAGGGGAAGGCCTGGCTTTGCAAGGGAGTAGGGACCTGGGCCAGACAGCTACTGCACTAACTCTGCCTCTCCCTCTGCAGATCCCACTCACCCCGCTCCAGCCGCCATCAGAGCCACCAGCCTCCCCCTCCCTGAGCTCCACTGAGGGACTGGCCGCCCCACTGCCTGTGGGCCACTGTGCTGGGCAGAGAGAGGTAGGAGGGCTAGGCACCGTGGTCCGTGGCCACACTAGCTACAGGCTCCTCAGTCAGTATTCCACTGCTCTTTCCTAACGAGTCCCGGGGGAAGGGCTGTTTCCCGGTGCTCAGACGCTTGTCCAGGCTGGAAGTGTGGGCCCTCCACTGTCAGCCAAATGCCAGGAAAAGCAGAGCCCCACCCTCAGCCGCTGGCCCTGTGAGCAGATGCATTACTAATGCATTAAGAGGCATGGTTAACACTTGCTGAGCTCTTACTGCATGCCAGGCACTGTGTAGAACACCTTGGATCTCATTCATCTTTTATAGTGAGGTTAACATAATAATCATCTCATTTTACAGATGATACAATGAAGCAGCTTAGAGCTCAGATAACTTGCTGAAGGCCCTATCGATGGGTAGAACTGGAACTTGGGCCTACACAGGCTGACTCCAGAGCCTATGGGCTGACCACTATACCACACTATGCTACCCCCAAAAAGGGCTGGGGGACAGCAAGGAAGGGTTTGCATGGAGTCACCCCGAACCCCTTCCTGCTGGGGATTAGGTCAGCGGAGTCCACTTCTTCCCTGAGGAGGCCCGGGCTATAAGTGACTGACTTAGGACTGGGGTACATTGCACTCCCTTCTGGAGTCCGTGTTCTTTCTGGGCCTGAGAAATGGACAGACCTCCCTCCCCTGGGACAAACACAGAGGTCGGAGTTGTGGGTGGTTAGCCCTGCTGATCCAAATGGCTGTGGGGAGTAGGGGCGGGGACAACCAAGAAGAGGATGTTGGGTACCTGCCCAACCCCATGTGTGCCAAGAAGGAGAATTGGGGTAATCAGGGCTCAGCAACCCTTGAGGAAGCAGAACCATCATATCCCAGTTGCTGTGAATTCCTTTTGGGGACACAGACACAACGGGGCCAGCTCTGTTCCTGGCATACCCTGTTATGCCAGCCCAGGGCCTGGGCCTGGAACTGGATCCCAGCTGCACGTGGTCCCCTCCTCATACCATCATCTCTCCCCAAAGGTATGTTGGGAGCAGCAGCTGAGGCCAGGAGGCCCAGGCCCCCCAGCCACCCCACCCCCAGCGCTGGATGCCCTATCCCCATTTCTTCGGAAGAAGGCCCAGATTCTGGAGGTGCTGAGAGCCCTGGAAGAGACTGACCCCTTGCTTCTGTGCTCACCTGCCACCCCCTGGCGGCCTCCAGGCCAGGGTCCTGGCTCCCCAGAGCCCATCAACGGCGAGCTGTGTGGCCCACCTCAGCCCGAACCCTTGCCCTGGGCGCCCTGCCTGCTGCTAGGCCCTGGCAGCCTGGGAGGCCTGCTGCACTGGGAGCGCCTCTTGGGGGGCCCGGGAGGGGAAGAGGGTACTGGGCGGCTCTGGGGTCCTAGCAGGGGACCTCCCCAGGCCCAGGGCACCAGCTCTGGCCAAAACTGTGCCCCAGGCAGCAGCTCCTCCTCCTCTTCTGATGAAGCAGGTGACCCCAATGAGGCACCCAGCCCCGACACCCTGCTCGGTGCTCTGGCCCGCAGACAGCTGAATCTGGGCCAGCTCCTTGAGGACACAGAGTCTTACCTACAGGCCTTCCTGGCTGGGGCTGCAGGCCCACTCAACGGGGACCGCCCAGGTCCCGGGCAGCCATCTTCCCCAGACCAGGGGCCCCCACAGCTGTCCAAGTCCAAAGGCCTCCCTAAGTCAGCTTGGGGTGGGGGTACCCCAGAGGCCCACAGGCCAGGCTTTGGTGCTACCTCAGAGGGCCAGGGGCCCCTCCCCTTTCTTAGTATGTTCATGGGTGCTGGGGATGCCCCACTGGGCTCTCAGCCTGGCCACCCCCATTCCTCATCTCAGGTGAAAAGCAAGCTCCAAATTGTCCCCGCTTCTCCTGGGGAAGCCCAGGGACCCCTTCTGCCCTCTCCAGCCAGGGGTCTCAAGTTTCTAAAGCTGCCTCCAGCCTCGGAGAAGATTCCCAGCCCCGGCGGCCCGCAGCTCAGTCCCCAGCTCCCTCGGAACTCACGCATCCCCTGTCGGAACAGTGGCTCAGATGGCAGCCCCTCCCCACTGCTGGCCCGAAGGGGTCTGGGTGGAGGAGAGCTGTCCCCAGAGGGGGCGCAGGGCCTGCCCACCAGCCCTTTACCCTGCTCCACAACCCCAGACTCTGCACAGCTCAGACCCCCGCAGTCAGCCTTGTCCACCACGCTGTCCCCAGGCCCAGTGGTATCTCCCTGCTATGAGAACATCCTGGACCTTTCTCGGAGCACCTTTAGGGGGCCTTCCCCAGAGCCACCTCCGTCCCCACTGCAGGTGCCCACCTACCCACAGCTAACTCTGGAGGTGCCACAGGCCCCCGAAATTCTCAGAAGCCCTGGAGTTCCCCCCAGCCCTTGCCTCCCGGAATCGTACCCCTATGGGAGCCCCCAGGAAAAGAGTTTGGACAAGGCAGGCTTGGAGTCTCCCCATCCTGGCCGCAGGACCCCAGGCAACCCATCCAAGAAGCCCAGCCAGGGGTCAGGACGGCGACCTGGGGATCCCGGCAGCACACCTTTGCGGGACAGACTGACGGCCCTGGGGAAGCTGAAAACAGGCCCCGAGGGGGCCCTGGGCCCAGAGAAGAATGGGGTGCCAGCCAGGCCTGGCACTGAAAAGGCCCGGGGACCAGGGAGGTCAGGGGAGAGTGCTGGAGACATGGTGCCCCCCATCCACAGGCCCCCGGAGCAACTAGAAGCTAAGGGGAGCATACGGGGGGCAGTAGCTTCGGGCGCAAACAGCCTGAAGCAGCAGGAACCTGGACTCATGGGGGATCCTGGGGTCCGAGTCTACTCCTCTCACTCCATGGGGGCCCGGGTGGACCTGGAGCCTGTCTCACCAAGGAGCTGCCTCACCAAAGTGGAGCTGGCCAAGAGCCGGCTGGCAGGGGCTCTGTGCCCCCAGGTACCCCGTACCCCTGCCAAAGTGCCAACCTCAGCCCCAAGCCTGGGCAAGCCCAATAAGAGCCCTCACAGCAGCCCCACCAAACTCCCTTCCAAGTCACCCACCAAGGTGGTACCTCGACCTGGGGCTCCTCCCGTCACCAAGGAGTCCCCCAAGCCTGACAAAGGGAAGGGCCCTCCCTGGGCAGACTGTGGTGGTACCACAGCCCAGCCCACACCCACAGTACCTGGTCCCACTGACCCAAGCCAGGGCCCCGACGGGCTGGCCCCACACTCAGCCATTGAGGAGAAGGTGATGAAGGGCATCGAGGAGAATGTGCTGCGGCTCCAGGGCCAGGAGCGGGCCCCCGGCACTGAGGTCAAGCACCGCAACACCAGCAGCATCGCCAGCTGGTTCGGCCTTAAGAAGAGTAAGCTACCAGCACTGAACCGCCGCACAGAGGCCACCAAGAGCAAGGAGGGGTCTAGCGGGGGCTCCCCGCTCCGGAGGGAAGTCAAAATGGAAGCCCGGAAGCTGGAGGCTGAGAGCCTCAACATCTCCAAGCTGATGGCCAAGGCGGAAGACCTGCGTCGGGCGCTGGAGGAGGAGAAGGCCTATCTAAGCAGCAGGGCCCGGCCACGGCCTGGGGGCCCAGCCCCAGGGCCCAGCACGGGGCTGGGGCAGGTGCAGGGCCAGCTGGCTGGCATGTACCAGGGCGCAGACACCTTCATGCAGCAGCTGCTCAACAGGTGAGGGCCTGGGATCAGCCAACAGGTGCTTGGTGGGCATGGGCACTTTTCCCTTCGTGGGCACACCTAAGTCTGGGGCTGGGCCTGCCTCTCCTAGGAGCTGGGGCTTCCCAGAGGTCAAAAGGGATAGAAGGCCACCAAAGCAGCTGTGGGGTCAGGGACTTGGCCTGGAGGAAAGATCAGGGGCTTGACCTCGTTGCTGGCTTCTCATTTGAGAAGCATTAACAGTCCACATTTTCCTGGATGGTCTCTGTACCAGATGCGGCAGCCTGTCAGAGGTACCTGCATGTGATAGTGAACGCTAGAGCCTAACTGGGCTGATGAAGCTCTTCTCCTTCAGGAAAGGGACAAGGGGAGTCCCCTTCCCATCTTGCCCTTTGACACCTGCTACAATAGGAACTGTGGTTTAAAGAAGGGTCCCCCCCATCTTGGGGTGCGCTATCTGGGCCAGATGAGGCAGAAAGTCTGCAGGAATTAGGCCCCAGATAGGGTGTGTGGTTTGGACTGCAGGTGTGCTCAGAAGTTCAGCTAGGGCAGGTGGAGTGTGTCATTCATGGAGCAGAATGTGACTGGGTCTGCTGGTCTATCTGGAATCACCATCAAGCAGTCTCTAGGCTCAACTCTGGATGGCTCTGGGGGAGTTCTCCCATCTTCTCCGCTGCCCTCTCTTCCTCTGGGGGTTTCCCTATCGTCCTTGCCTGTTGCCAGTGTCAAGAAGGGTTGGTGGGAGCAATGACCAGCAACATGTCCCCTTCCCCAGAGGTGGGTGGCAGGAAGTGCCTCCCTAAGCCCCGCACCATTGGCAGGTGAAAGGCTGGGATGTCTGGGCAGGCCTGGCTGCTCTCACTTACATCTGCGCTGTTGCCCATAGGGTGGATGGCAAGGAGCTGCCATCCAAAAGCTGGCGGGAGCCCAAGCCTGATTACGGGGATTTCCAGCCAGTGTCTTCTGATCCCAAGAGCTCCTGGCCAGCCTGTGGGCCCCGGAATGGCCTGGTGGGCCCTCTTCAGGGCTGCGGAAAACCTGGAAAGGTAAGTTCTTAGGGCATGGACTGGGTAGGGGGGCCTGGCTCTCTGGCCCTGCCAGGTCTCTTACCCCCTAGAGGGTTCTCCCTCCCCAAGGCCTAGAAGCTGCTGGATGCTCTCATGGTCTTGGAGGGGAGACTGGGGAGGAGAGAGGAGCTTCCCAGTCTGCATGGCACTGAGATCCATACTCCAGGACCTCATCTTCATACTCCCATACTTTGACAGCCACATTCCCACCCCCTAGAAGGGTGGGGAGGGGTGTGGAGGGGGGAGGAGTGGACTCTGAGGTCTCCTGTACCCCACACAGCCAAGCAGTGAGCCAGGGAGGCGGGAAGAGATGCCCTCAGAGGACAGCCTGGCCGAGCCAGTGCCCACCTCACACTTCACAGGTCAGCAAGTTCCTTTGCCCCCACCCCCTGCCACTTCCTATCCCCACAGCAGGTGCTAGGCTCTGTGTGCCATCTTGGTGCCAAGCACCAGGTAGGCACTGGAGTTACACAAGAACAAATCCTTCCTCTGGGGTACTTGCCCTACCTACACCCGTTTCCTAAGCCCTGGGCAGGTGGGGATGGCGGGCATGTGCTATGGAATGAGCTGTTGGGTCAGGAGGGGTTCTGAGTCGGGGTGGAGCCTGGGCTGGGTGGGAAGTGGAGGCAGGCGGGGGGCTGAGCCCAGCCTCACTCTTGATGTGCCCTCCCCTCCCCAGCCTGTGGCTCCTTGACTCGAACCTTGGACAGTGGCATTGGGACCTTCCCACCCCCAGACCATGGTAGCATTGGGACCCCCAGCAAGAATCTTCCTAAGACCAAGCCGCCGCGGCTGGAGCCCCCACCTGGGGTACCCCCAGCTCGGCCCCCACCCCTTACCAAAGTCCCCCGCCGCGCCCACACGCTGGAGCGGGAGGTGCCAGGCATAGAGGAGCTGCTGGTGAGTGGGCGGCACCCTAGCATGCCAGCCTTCCCTGCGCTGCTGCCTGCTGCTCCAGGCCACCGGGGCCATCAGAACTGTCCTGATGGTGAGTGTCCAGGTGGGAGGGTGGGATGCTCCTGGGGGCTGGGCAGCTCCATCCACCTTCCCCTTGTTCCTGGACAGATCCCTGTGAAGACCCAGGTCCCACCCCTCCTGTCCAACTTGCCAAGAACTGGACCTTCCCCAATACCAGGGCAGCCGGCAGCTCCTCGGACCCTTTCCTGTGCCCACCCCGACAGTTGGAGGGGCTGCCCAGGACCCCCATGGTGAGAATTGCAGTAGGGGAAAGAGAATGGACTGGGAGGCAGGAGGGAGTGACGTGGGGAGACAGTTTCTCCGGTGATGTACGGCCTGTGTCTTGCAGTCTTGGCGCCACACCCTCCAGGAGGAGGACCCTGGCATGCCCTGTGAGCGGCCCACCGCCCTTCCCTCCTTGCACCCTTCTCTTGCGAAAGGGTTTCTGTCCCTCCCCAGAACCTTGTGGGACTGTTCTCAGTTGTACCTCCAGCCTGCTTCCTCTGAAGCGCGCCCCACCTTGGGGGGCTCCCTCTTGAACAGCCCCCCATTGGGTGCACAGATGCCCCTCAGAGCTCAGTGTCTGTGAGGCTGGGCTGAGAGAGGTGGAGAGGAGCTTCCTCCCGAGCTGCCCCTCCTTTCCCAGGCCCTGCCCGTGGACAGGAAGCGGAGCCAGGAGCCCAGCCGCCCATCCCCTACGCCCCAGGGCCCAGCATTCGGGGGTAGCCGAACCCCCAGCACTTCGGACGTGGGCGAGGAAGGCAGAGTGGCCAGTGGCGGCCCCCCAGGGCTGGAGACCTCGGAGTCTCTCAGCGACTCGCTCTACGACTCCCTCTCCTCCTGTGGGAGTCAGGGCTGAAGGGCTGCGCCACGCCATGGCCCTGCTGGAGTTGGGGACCACAGACTGGACCAGCTCTCTTCGTGCCCAGCCCCTGGAGCCAGGGGGCCCCTCCCTGAAGGGACCAAGGAGACAGGTGGATAAGGTGAAAAGGGGGTCCCTGGCACACCCCACCACCCACTGCTACTGTGGATGAGATGACCGTGCTCAGCTCAGGGAGAGACCCCAGCCCTTGGTTCCTTCTCTCACCCAGAGTAAGGCTCTTCCTTGAAGGGACTGGGGGTTCAAGGCCACTGTGTCGCAGCCCCCCAGCTGCCACTTCAGGCTGAGCCATCTTGTGGTGCTGGGCTTCCTGCCCACCAGCCGTGCCATCTCTGCCCAACCTGGCTGCTCCCCTACCCTGAAGCCCCCGTGAGGCCCTTCTGGAGGCCCCTGTGCTGGTGGAATTTGGGGGTCAGGGGGACAAGTTGCCTTCTCTCTCTGCCCTGGTCCTCCCGGCTGTCTGGATGGTGCTGCCCTCCCCTGCCCCATGCCTTTGGGGTCTATTCGTCTGTCTTTTTTGTTGTTTTTATATATTGAAGCACCTGGCCCAGCCCCAGCCCCCAGCCCCGCACCGCGGTTAATTTATCTGTTGTTCAAAATGCGGCTGCTCTGCTTCCTGCCTCTGCTTCTGCCGTATCCCTAATAAAATGTGGAGGCCCCTCCCTGCCCCTGACTCAGCTTGTTGTATGGGAAGATTTGGGGAGACAGGTCGGGGGACACTGCATGGGTGCCAGGTTGAGGGACGCCAGGCGCCCTTGTGATGCAGTCCCCCCACCAAGGCAGCTGGCTGGAGTCATCCCAGAAGGTAACTGAGGGTTGGAAGAGTAGGACCTACTTGGGCCCAGAAGGGTACCTGGGCTTGGAGAGATTCTCCTGGCAGGGTGCAAGTCTGGGCAGCTTCTTGGAGGGGGAGCTGGGGAAGATGGCTGTGAACATGCACTCAGGCCACAGGTGTCCCAGGCAGGTGGGACACGCAGACCCTGAGCAGAGTTGCATCTGTTCAGCACACCTTGGTTTTCCTCCTCAATAGGAGATTAGAAGGTAAGTCTAGATGAGCTAGTCCTATCAGCCAGACTTCCTTCTCAGCATTCTCCTCTTCCTATCCCTTCCCCAACTCTCCTCTTCCTACCCCTTCTCTTAGTTAATATCATCATTGAAGAAATTAACAAGATGGAGAGGGTCAAGTCAGATGTCTGGGTTTTATTTAAAAGTTGGTATCACATTTTCCCATTTTCTTTGTTTCTTTTTTTGAGGTGGAGTTTCACTCTTTTTGTCCAGTCTAGAGTGCAATGGCGCAATCTCAGCTCACCGCAAACCTCCACCTGCCAAGTTCAAGCAATTCTCCTGCCTCAGCCTCCTGAGTAGCTGGGATTACAGGCATGTGCCACCACACCCGACTAAGTTTGTGTTTTTAGTAGAGACAGGGTTTCTCTGTGTTGGTCAGGCTGGTCCCAACCTCAGGTGATCCACCCACCTTGGCCCCCCAAAGTGCTGGGATTACAGGCATGAGCCACTGCGCCCGGCCAGTATCCCATTTTCTTACCTGTCTTCTACTTCCAGGTTCCTATCCCACTGTCCTATCCCGTCTACTTTTATGGGCTTAAGCATAATATTACCAAGCTGTAAATCTTTGCTTCTTACCAGGTGGGCTTCAAGAGGTTTACCTCCTTCCTACTTTTTATTTCTTAGTTTTTCAAGCCGTCTTCTCTGCTTAAGCGTGGTAGATCACCTCATTTCCTAGTTAGAACAGAATTGTTTGCCTGCAGGATATTTCTCCTATTTCCTTTTGGGGAAGGAGTCTGGCGTGTTGGGCTTGGCTCAGGACTCTACCTCTTACAAGCTGTGACCGAAGGGTCCATCCACATTCTGAGCACCAGGGTCTGATCTGTCAGCTGCCAGTCTCTATTCTCTGGTGTCTGCAAATGCAAGATGTCACCTTGGTTTCCAGGGCAATGCGGGCTGACTGACCAGGGCAGGGTAGGTGGCATCAGCCACACCTGGCGCCTGGAGGCAGCCCTTGCCCACCAACTGCTCCATGGTGGGAAACTTCCTAAATCCCCCAGCATTTTGCTAAGGGACCCTGGGCCCAGATGAGCCACCCTGCGGCCCACGTAACTGTGGTGTGCCGTCTGCACAGACTCAATATTTTATCTGAAATAATTCTGTGGAGGAGGACATGCAATTGAGTTTAAAGGCACTCCGGAGAATCAGTTTCTTGCACTTCAAAGAAAGGGTTGGCTGAAAGATCATTTGATCCTTACTAGGGCAGAACACTTCGTATCTTAGTTTGCAACATCTGCCAGCAGAATTCAGGTAAACTCACTGATTTCTCCAAGAATAATAAGTGAATGTTTGTTTGCCTTTCCAATGTGCAAGACCCATTCTGCTGGGTTTTCCAAACAAAGGAAGACAAAACTGCCAGACCACCCCCGCCATCCCCCAAAATGGCATCAAGCCATCAGCAAAAGATTCTGACAAGTCTTCAGGTTCGACTTCACTGGGCACTTTGCCTTTTGCAGGAAATGTCCCAAAAATGTTAACTTAGGTTTTCTCTGGGTAGCCAGTGGTTTATTTCCTTCTTTACACTTTTCTAGATTTTCTACAAATAGTGTGCTTTGTTTTCTTTCTTTAAGAAATTTTTTTTGTAGTGATGGGGTCTCACTATGTTGCCCAGGCTGGTCTCAAACTCCTGGCCTCAAGAGATCATCCCATCCTGTCCTCTCAAAGCACTGGGATTACAGGTATGAGCTGCTGCATCCAACCTGTTTTGTTCTGTTTATCAAAAAAAAAGTCTTAAAAGAGAAACAATCATTCTCTGCAGCAAACTCTAGGTATAAACCCTCATTCTGTAATCCTGTGTAAGTTAGTTCAAGCATATAAATAACTTATTTAAGGCCACATGAATTTGAAGTAAATACAAGTGAGCACTTCTATGATCTTGGGGAAAAAAATTTTAACTTTTTTTCTTTTTTTGAGATGGAGTCTCCCTCTGTTGCCAGTCTGGAGTGCAGTGGCACAATTCCAGCTCACTGCAACTTCTGTTTTCTGGTTTCAAGCAGTTCTCCTGCCTCAGCCTCCCGAGTAGCTGGGAGTACAGGCATGTACCACCACGCCCGGCTAATTTTTTGTATTTTTAGTAGAGATGGGGTTTCACCATGTTGGCCAGGGTAATCTCAATCTCTTGACCTCTTGATCTGCCGGTTTTGGCCTCCCGACGTACTGAGATTACAGGCTTGAGCCACCAAGCCCCGCCAACATGTTTTAATTATTAAAGACATAGAAGTTATAAAAGCATATATTCAGGGTTCTTAAAAAAGGAATTGAAATTGAATTTTTAATTATCAGGGAAATGTAAGTCAAAACCACAATGAAATACCACCTCACTCTAGTTAGAATAGCTCTTATCAAAAAGACAAAAGAAAACAAGTGTCAGTGAGGATGTAGAGAAAAGAACCCTTACACATCATTGGTGGGAATGTAAATTAGTACCTCTATTAAGGGAAACCGTGTGGAGGTTCCTCAAAAAATTAAAAGTAGAACTGCTATATGGTCTAGCAATCCCACCAGTGGGTATGTAGAGGTATCTGTACTTCCTTGTTTATTGCAGCACTATTCACAATAGCCAAGACTTGAAGTCAACGTAAATACCAACAATGGATGTATGGATAAAATCTACACAGTGGAATACTATTCAGCAATGAAAAAGAATGCCATGTCATTTGAAACAAAATATATGAACCTGAACATTATGTTAAGTGAAATAAGGCCAGGTGTGGTGGCTCACACCTGTAATCCCAGGAGTTTGGGAGGGTGAAGCAGGTGGATCACCAGTTCAAGAGTTCGAGACCAGCCTGGCCAACATAGTGAAACCCCATCTCTACTAAAAATACAAAAATTAGCTGGGCATGGTGGCATGCGCCTATAGTCCCAGCTACTCAGGAGGCTGAGGCAGGAGAATCACTTGAACCCGGGAGGTGGAGGTTGTGGTGACCCAAGATGGCACCACTGCACTCCAGCCTGGGCAACAGATCAAGCCTCTGTCTCAAAAAAATAAATAAAGAGTGAAATAAGCCAGACACAAAAAGACAAATACCATATGATCTCACTCATATGTGAAATCTAAAAAAAAGAAAAAGCTGATCCCATAGAAGTACAAAGTACATCAGTGGTTAGCAGAGGCGGTGGAGCCAGTGGAGGAGAGGAGGCTGGGGAGAGGTTGTTCAGGGGGTACAAAGTTACAATTAGATAGGCTGAATAAGTTCTGGTGATCTATTGCACAGTAGGGTGACAATGGTTAACAAGAAGGTATTGTATATTATTACAAAATACAAGAGAGGGTTTTGAATATTCTCACCACAAAAAACATACAAATGCATGATGAGATGGCTGTGCTAAACACCCTGATTTGATCACTATACAATGTATCCATGTATGGAGATATCACATTGTACCCCATAAATACATACAGTTATAATGTGTCAATTAAAAATTGAAAAAGGCCTTCTGCTGAGAGTGCAGAGTATGTGCTCCTGGCTTGGAACACACATTTATTATTTAAAAATTTTTTTTAGATGTAAAAAAATTTTTTAAATATTGAAAGGAATTGAATGTTATACAAGAAAAAAAAGGGCTGGGCATGGTGGCTCACCTGTAAACCCAGAACTTTGGAAGGTCAAGGGAGGAAGATCACTTGTATACAGGACTTTGAGACCAGCCTGGGCTGCACAGTGAGACTGTGTCTCTACAACGAAATAATAAATTAGGCCAGGTGCCGTGGCTCATGCCTGTAATCCCAGCACTTTGGGAGGCCGAGGTGAGCGGATCATGAGATCAGGAGTTCGAGACCAGCCTGGCCAACATGGTGAAACCGTGTCTCTACTAAAAATAAAAAAATTACCCAGGCATGGTGGTGGGTGCCTGTAATCCCAACTACTTGGGAGGCAGAGGTGAGAGAATCGCTTGAACCCAGAAGGCAGAGGTTTCAGTGAGCCGAGAAGCTGAGATCGCACCATTGCACTCCAGCCTGGGCAACAGAGCAAGACTCTGTCTCAAAAAAAAAAAAAATTTAGCCAGGCATGGTGGTGCACACCTGTAATCCCAGCTACTTGAGAGGCTGAGGTGGAAGGATTGCTTGAGCCTGGGCAATGGAGGCTGCAGTGAGTGATGATCATGTCACTGCACTCAGCCTAGGTGACAGAGTAAGACCCTGTCTCAAAAAATAAAAAATTAGCTGGGCATGGTGGTGTGAGCCTGTAGCCCTACCTTCTTGGGAGGGTGAGGTGGAAGGATTGCATAAACCCAGGAATTCGAGGCTGTAGTGAGCTATTAGCATGCCACTACATTTCAGCCTGGACAACAGAGCAAGACTTTGTCTCTAAAAATTATTTAATCAAAAACAGGAAAAAGATTGGTGATAAAGATCCACTTTAAAAAAAAGAAAGAAAGAAAAAAACAGGAAAAAGAAAAACTCGCCTTCATACTGTGCCCTCAGTTTCATTCCACAGACAACCTGAGTTAATAATTAATTGGTTATCCTTTCAGATTTTTTTTTTTTACAGTCCTGCTGTGTCACCCAGGCTGGAGTGCAGTGGTGCAATCTTGGCTCACTGCAACCTCCGCCTCCCAGGTTCAAGTGATTCTGATGCCTCAGCCTCCTGAGTAACTGT